TACGATCCCCGAAGAAAGGCCCTCAAATTGTTCCATGAAACGCTCTTCCAATTGCACAAATCGATCGTCGATTTGTTGAAACCGTTCGTTGAAGACTGTTGTTGAAACCGTTCGTTGAATACTGTGTCCCGTTGATCGTTTGCGGCATCTTTTTCTGGCGACATCGTTGAATCGTACTGACTGCTGATACCAACTGATGTAGGGAAGCGTGAACGAATGGGAATAATAAAACGAGATATTCTCTCGATAAAACACAAAACTCAAATATCAGAAATCTTCTTCAAATTCAACCATCTGACTACAATAGAGATGAGATAAATATATAGAGTCCTACTTATCTTGCCTAACAAGCTAGGCTAGATATTTATTTAGTTACCAACCATAATAAAATAACTAAGGTAAGAAAATAAAAGGAACAATACTTATAGAAAATAAATAATCTAAATACGAAGCCTATCATATTTATTTAGAAACGAAATCGCGGTCTCGCCTCCATCACTCATCCTCTACACGCTAAGGTTCGAAATTCCTACCGGCACCAGACTCAACAACATAATCTGAATTTTGGGGATCCGTCTTGAAAGTTATTTCTGCTGAACAGTTGGTGCACTTGAAATAAAACCTGAAAATCTGGATGCCCAGATAGGTCTCCCCCACGACATCTTCCTTACGGGAATTGAATTTAGTTCCCTTGTAGATGTAATTACCGCACGTCCCACGCCGAATACTCATAGGAAGCATCATCCGCACTTTCATCTGTTGTTGGGTCTTGGGTTGCCTCCGGCGAGGAATCTTCGCCGGATCGAAGTCCGCCGGGTAGTATTTGTTCAAAACCTTCCGTTCTCCCATCTTTCTTTAGAACACCAATAGATGCTAAAATTTAGCTGCCAGAGATGAAGAAGAGCTTTTCAGGGAAGGAGAAAACGGCCAACGCCTAGGACGGGCGTATAGGAAGGTCTGTGTATATATCTTTTGTGATGAACCCTGGGCGTGATTAGATATAGGAATAAATGATTTATAAGGATTAGGAAAAAAAAAAATACATATTTTAATTAAATATCCAACTCAATTTGTAAATATCTTTTGTAAACTTTGTACGTGATTGGATATACAAATATCTAATTTATTAGGTTTAGGAAAAAAATACAGGTTTTAAATTAAAAATCCAATTCAAGTTTAATTGAACTCAATTTTTCTCAATATTATCTATAATATATATATATATATATATATATAATTACTAGTTAAAAATTAAATTTTACCTTATAAATTTTACCTTCATGGCACATTTCCTAATACAACAACCGTTACAATCCATTATTATTACATTATTTCACTCTACCCATTAGTGAAAAAATATTTTCTTGCACTTTTTTTAGGTAAATTAAAACAAAAATCATTACATTTAATATTAACTGAGTAATAATTATATTTTTTATTGTATCATATAATAGGTATTTTTTTTTTTCCAAAACGATAGAGATATAATAGGTATTATGAAAACATAATTATATTTGACACTTGATATATGAAAAATACATAAACCTAAAAAATTATATTGTAATTTTTTTTATGTTATATATTCTAAAATCAATACTATATTTTTTATCTGATTAAGTTATTGTTTTTTTTAAAAAAAAAATATTTTAATGTCATAGTAAAATTTATTAAAATTGCATAAGCAATTGTTATAATAAATGTGATATTATTTAGCTAATTAATTAGTCATGATGCCTCTACATTACAAAAGTTGCATTATTTATTTCATTTTATGCAATTAATATAGTGATTCATATGCAATCAAATCATTATATACTATTTATTTTAACCAATAATCAAATTTTAAAACATAATAGCTTATCTAACTTATAATTTAAATATTATATGCATAAATAATATTTATAATACAATATGTTTAAAATATAATATCATTATCTAACTTATAATTTTTATATTATATGTAAATAAATAACTTATAATACTTTATTTACATATGTGTAAATGCACAGAATCGAATACTAATTCTTTTCTAAACAATACCAATCATGTAATTAATAATGATTAAGAGAATAATTATTTCATCTGTTATTCTATCATACCAATCATATAATTAGTGTACTCGACACGAATGAATTAGGCCTTAATGAAACTGACCGCGCGTCGCGACGCGGCAAATTTAAATTTATAAAGTTTCCTTAACAAACCTATACTAACTAGTAGCAGCGGCGAGTAAGGGTCGATCCCACGAAGAGCAGGAATTAAGTCGTGAAAAATTTCGTATTAATCGAACTAAAATTAAGAAAACAGTAAAATGGGGGTTTTGGTTTTATAAAAATAACAAAAGAAAATAAAATAAAAATCAAATAAAATGAGAGAAGTCCAGTTTTCGGTTCAGTTATCACCCAATTTAAATTTACCGTTAACCAATTTCGACGCCTTATTTAAGTTGCTAATGAATTACCGACCCTAACTAACAACAAGCTCTGTTAACCGAATTTTCCCTTACATAATATTTAGTCGAAATAAGCTCTTCGACCAAGCCTAACTAGCGGACAACCTAGAATAAGCTCTCTAGATTTAATACACTAGAAGCATTAATTACTAGGAAAATAGATCAGTCTAAGCAATGAACGCGTAAGCTCGGACCATTTAACTTATGTTCACGCTACCTTAAGGATGCACGACCCCTAGTTTACTACTAACGAAACGAGACAATAACAATTACGGATTAAAGTCCTGAATCTAGCAATTAAATTATGAACATTCAACGTAGCTGGCCAAACTAAATCAAACATCATAATTCATAAACACTAAATATAGATAACATGAATCAACTCATCAACAAAATAAATACGACGTCTCGATTAATCAACGATAAATTCAAATCCTTAAATTCATAGACAAATTCAAGTTAGGGTTCAACATCCCCTCAAACTGGATAAAAAAGTCTAGCCTAACATATCAATAAAAATAAATAAAAGATAAAAGAGAGATTAGTTATCTCCCTCGTGTGCGGGTGCGGCTTCCTTCCGCGTGTGTAATCTCCTTCACAGTCTGTGTGTGGTGCGCTTTTCTCGTCCGCTCTCTGGCCGTCCCTTTTTCCTTCTGTTGTGCGTGCTTCGTGTTTTTCTTAAAAATATCTCCTTTGGAAAATAAAACTCCTCCCAATATATGTATGTGCCGTGTGTCCTTTTACCACAATTAATGGGTCAACGGAGAGTCCTCAAAATCCCAACTGTATGCATGCTGACTGCCAATTACCTCTGCCATCTCAAATGTCCATTGTGAATTTCATTAGTTGGGCTTTATTTCTTAAACTTTTTCTAAGCATGTGTTTTAGCCATAAATAATCCAGTATTGTAGGCCTAATCTCTCACGAACACTTGTACTCCGGATCCACAAAATATTCTAATAACCTGAAAATAAATATAAAAATATCAAAGTGTATGAATCCATCCAAATAATAAATAAGTCGAAAAATATAAACGTACGAATAAATTAAGTATATAAGAATACACTATTAAATATATAAAACATGCACATTTTTCGACCTATCAGAAATCCTTCACATAATTAGTGTACTTGACACGAATGAATTAGGCCTTAATGAAACCCTTCACATGAATCTATCACCTACTTTCCAACTAATATATTAAATTATTAATCAGATGAGCAAT